AAGTAGTCATGAATATATAAAATAGCTTATACAATTTTTACCATACAGCATGATATTTTTAATCTGATTTAGTCGCTTATAATTTTACCATGTAACATATATAGTAATTGATCGACTGTAATCGATATTTATCGGTTATTTTCGTTGTCGAGTGTGTCTCTAGCTACGCTAGAACTTACTCATTTCAAAACATTTTACAATCTGCATTATAATTTTATAATACTACATCATTTATAGAAAGTCTCTTGTATATTTCAAAAAATCTATCGTTACTGATAATATTTCATTATTGTCAAGTTGTCCCAAGCTTATTAACGAAACATGATAAAATTTGTAATGAATTTTGCGGTAAAAAATAACGAAAAATTCTCTCCGTGTAGACTTAACCAGAATTCTGGATCGTTTATTTTCTATCAAAATTCCAGTTAATTCAATCAAACTTTTTTTCGTGCATCGTCTCGCTATTCCCACTTTTTTTCCGGTTACAATGATGGCACGTGAAACTTAATATTACGCTCATTCAAACAGAAAATGAGTTGAGGAAAATGAACTCGACATGATGAAGCTGATATATGCCCGTTTCTACACGGAGAAAATTTTATATTTAAAATTACTACAATGTAGTAGTAGCTGCGGTCTTCATGTAAATTATAAGTTTAAATGCTATAATTATTTTTTTAAAAACAATAATACAACGTAATTTTTATACTTTTTTATAGTAAATTTTATAGTAAAATTTTTTATTACAAAATCAAATCTTGTTGAATGAAAGTTAATATTGTAAAGATAAGTAAAAAATATATACCTAGCAAATTTTTTTTGCGTATCATAGTAAAAATTAACTGTATTTATGTTAGCATATGGCTTAACAAAATAATTACTTTATTTATGTGATAAAAATTAGTATTATTATAGTAAAAGTTAAGTCGGAATTATGTTGTGAGGATCCATACGAAAATTCAAGACATAGTAAAGTGTAATTTAAAATTATATTAAAACTTAATTAAAATTTTTAATTAAAATTTTTTCCGTGTACCAACGCAATTTAATTTTAATCTTAGTTCAACTAACTCTTTACTTTTGTTTAGTTCTAAGAATTATTAGATAAAGATAAAGAGAAAAATTAAGTTGAATCGAGATTAAATTAAAGTTAATCTACATTGTTAGAAACGTGCATTAATCTCGATATCTTTATCAATATAAATATAGTATATCATTGAAAAGATACGACATATTCTTTCTGTACATTGTATGCAATCTCGACACTATTTCGCGCACGACTTGCATTCAAAAACGGTAAACGACAGAAAATCGCTGTGACCTGAACAATATATCTTTGCTCTGTCGACTATTCTTTCTCGACATGCAATGTTATGTGTTGAATCATCAATCGACAATCGAACAAGAGCAAGTGACCAATATTTTTGGAACAATTCGCTATTCGTTGAATATCATTCAAATTACCGTATATAGTCCTCCGCGTGCTCGGTCGAATCGAAATAATAAACGCGGGTGAAATATATTCCATCAAACTTGTTGGACTCGTATAGCTTCACTCGCGAAAACTCAAATCTCTTTTCCGTTTAGGCCCGCAGTTTCACAATACATGGTTAATTTTTAACTGGTTTAACTTATGGAGGTTTAACTTATTCCTCATCTCTTTCTAATGCTAGAATTGGAAAGAGATAATAAATAAGTTGAACCTCAGTTAAGAGTTAACCGTGAGTTGTGAAACTGGGCCTTACTGATTTTTTGAATAATTCATTTGATAAAGTTTATTAAACGAATTATCCAGATAAACTTATAATTATTCAAAATGTGTTTCAATGCCAAATCGAGTCTAAACACTAGGTATAATTGTGTGTCAAATTCTTTATTGTGTTAAAATATACGTTTCGATCCTTGTATCGGATCCTTATCAATATTTCTTAGTTACTACGTTACATCAATGTGCTCCCTAGAACACTACATTATCAAAAGTTATTTACTAGTGATGGTTTAATTATGAATACAGTTATAAATTAAAATTAATATTCACTTACATGACATAATGTTAGTATGTGTGAAAATTATGCTACTCTTCATGTCTATCGTCAACAGATAACTGCTCTCGTTTACAATTACGATTATTTTATCTTCGGTTTACATGTAATACGCATGACCGTCAATTATAAATAACTAAGAGATTGAAACCTAAACTTTAGCCAATAAACACTCATATGCTGAGTTCAGCTTATAATTATTATATCCAGATAATTTATCAGATAAACTTGTCAAGTGCAAAACGTTCGTCAGTAAATTTCAGTAAACAGAACATCAAGTAATAGCAAAAATGTAAAAGTTGTAGTAAAGCAACTACAACGTATCTGTCTTATTTGAGACGACTTAGACATGCTGATAACGCTAAAAGACGCAGGAGAGATTTCAAGAGAGATTGGCTTACCGAATGTATCCGAGTTAATCGGAGAACGAACAGAGAACCAACAGAGAACGAATGAAGAATGAAAGATCCGTATCCAACGACGGTACGCACGCGACTGACTTTCAGCTAAATACAATATACATCATGATGTAAAACACAAGGCATGTAGAGGGAGGTGAAACTGTTTTCCACACACACACACACACACACGCGCGCGCGCGTGCGCACGCACGCACGCACACACACACACACACACCCAGCATGCGCGCGCGAAGAAAATAAATTATATATATATGTATATATTGTTTTAAAATATTAGCAACGCGATTCTATATGCGCCCAATGCGAAACAGTACCAAGCTAATATAACATCTAAAAGATATAATTGACGATTATGCATAGAAATTCGTTATATCGTATATCAGAAACATTCCTCTCTTTCCTTATACAACAAAATATATTTTTTATTCTAAAATTTCAAAACAAGACGTGTATATATATATATATA